GATGTGCAAGGCTGTATGATTTTGTTTTCCAATTCAAGGTAGATCCAAGGATGTGTGACTTGAGGGTATGTGTGTTACATTTTGTCCAATGTTTGTTTTTCTTTCAATCTTTCTCCTAATAGTTTGAAGAGTCAGGGTACCATCTGCTCAGATTGCAGAGTATTTTTGGACTCTTGCCCTTTTGGCTTTCAAAAGATGACATTTCCTCATTTTGTAATTTTTATTTCTTAGCTTAGAATGTCATAATTCCAAGATTGCCACCTATCAAGCCGATTTAATTTACCTTTTAGAGGAACATGGAATTAGACCATCTCTAAAGTCATTGACGACAATTGTTGTTGACAGAGCTGTAGCTGTTGGGTTTACTTTCCAAGGCCCTTTAAAGAAGAAATATTATGAATACAATATTGTAAAGTGTAACTAATTATAAACATATGGTATGATCAAAATGATAATATGCTGTCGTGTTTATCTGTATTTATCTGACCTTCCCGCATTTATTTGACCTTCTTTTATATCCAAGCATCTATTGCCTGTCATATAGATAAAAAGGACCTTGGTTTGTGTCACAGTAGCGAAGATAGATTTACTATGGACTGTTCAGATTGTAGGATATTTATATGAAGCGCATGCACCAAAAATATCATTGTGGTGTGAATGGGGCATACACGCACTCGGTAACAACATTATGTAAAGAAACGTTTTGAAAAGTTTTAAGGAGGTCAGTTGACTTGACAGCAGGCCAGTCATATCAGTGTTCCCTCACGATAAGCTCCGCCCAGCTATGTGGTTTTCGTATGATACAACATTCAGACGAGAATAGGAGCCTGAATGTGTCTATTTTTTTTTTAAAACAATATTCTAACATGCGTTTCTCTATATGACATTCTGTAATGATATACAGATTAGAACGCAATAATTAATTATCATACAGTTTTTTTATGCCCGTACAACGATTGTTGGTCATCTGAATGGCTAGTCACTGGATATTTTCCAAATCCACTTTTTTTTAAGGGTAAGCAGCTCATTGCTTCTGCTGTACATCAAAGGTCATACAGAAATAGATTTGTTTTCTTCCAGCCAAATAACATGTCACATTTGATATCATTGGTTATACCGTCAACATGATTTATAAGAAAAAATATAATTACTTGGGGGGGGGGGGTTGATCAAAATGAAGTAGCTGTATGGGATTACATAGAGCATATCCCTGTTAGAGATAAAACAGAAAAAATTATGGGGGTGACGATATTTGGCTTCTTAAATGCATTAAGATATTGAGCATGTAATAAAAAGCCACAGCTTAATACATTATTGCGTAAAATCTCTAGATGCGATATTTTGTACATAAAAATAGCTTTTTGAATAATTTGTTTTTAAAACCCAGAAAGGTTGGCAAAAAATAAATGAAAAGCAGTCTATATAATAATTTCTATCTACATCTACAGCTACTCTCTATACCAGAACTAAAGTGAAGCATGTACACTATCATGTGCGGATTGGCGATTGAATCCTATGACCAGGGTAATGATAATTACAATATAAAGCACTTAGAAACGTAGTATTAAGCTATACAAATGTGATTAGTATTACTGAAGTACTGATAATGATATCTATGTTTCTCATGCTCAAGGAACATGCAGGGGCTTTTTAATACTACCCTGGTTATTGGATTAATGTCAATTCTGTATAATACATTCATGTGCAAAACAAGAGCATTTTATACTATGGCTTCACCTTACACAAGCATGTTTGCAGCGCAAGGATATATAGTAACCAAATTTTATTTGTTATTCCATGTTCCCACTTTCATTATATTTAAAACACCTGCCATGATAGAGGAGGGTGATACTTGCCTGTTAAAGTAATTAAGATGAAAAGGTTGTTTCATAAATTCAATGAAATGTAACAGAAGGAAATACTTCCCAACTATAAATTGGATCTATTTTGACATTTGATCTGAGAAACCAATTCTATTGACAAATCTGACAAATGGTAGCATTCCAAAGTCATGTCCTTTTCCATTCATCTCAATACTTGTTCTACTTATATGATTCAGACAAGTAGATTGCCGGATTTGATCCCTTCTTCAGCCTGAATGGTAGAAATGTTTGCCGGAAGTCTTCATTCACTTCCCTTAAGGCGCGTCTTCATCATCTCGAGATTGCCAAATAGCCTGCTATTTCTGATTTGGGAAATAATCCCGAAGTAACAAATCGCGTCTTCACTATCTGGAGATTCAACCTCGAAACTTGAAACTCGACCTTGAGAAATTAGCTTGAGATATTTTGCTCAGCGTTAGCGCGTATTGCGAATCTTCGGTCTAGTGAAGACGCACAGGACAAATAGCTGGATATTTTGCCAAATAGTGGGATATTTTGAAAACTATCCCAAGATATCTTGGGATCACAATCTCGACCAAATATCCTTCTAATTGCTACTTCGGTCTGATGAAGACGCAAATTAGCTGGATAGTTTGCGATCGGGATAGTTCAAATAGCTGGATATTTGGCAATCTCGAGATAGTGAAGACAGGCCTTTAGAGTCAGAAGGAGGATAACCAGCCCTGTAAAGATGATTTCATCAAGTGCTCAACTGCTCATAGAGGTGCTGAATTTTTGTTTAAATAAAATGTGCATTTTAAACTGGTTTGAGCCCCAATCATTTTCAGACCGATTTATCATTATGGGATCAGAGTAGAGTATCACATTTCATTTCTGTTTCCTTTTTAGTATCTAGTCAATCTAGTCATGAAGTCTACAATGTTTAGTCTAGTCTCGTAAAACAATAAATCTTTCACTGGAATTATCTAATGTGTCAACTGAATGACTCTGTATCATGAATAATGTTCAAGAGCCCCCAAGTATAATTTTGAGTGCCTGACAGAACAGCACTAACATTAAGTTTACATTTTTACCCCCAAATATTTTCTTAATTTGGATAATGAAAGTAGGGGCAGATTTATTTGGGACCCCCCCCCCCCCAACCATTTGAAACCCAAGTGACACAGCAACTGAAATTTGCCCCCCTCCCCCTCCTTTCAAGTGATAACCTCTTATTGTGCCCCTCCCCCTTCCAAAGCCTGGATTTGCCCCAGAATGAAAGGATATAGTGAATTGCCTTATAAGTTGTAAGTTTGTAACCTAGCTACTACTAAAACAGATTAGGCAAATTTACAGACTGATATATATATATATATATATATATATATAAAAGTGCTCGTAATAAACTTGTTAAGTACAGCTACGTCTCACGTTCCTAGACCATTTTCTTCACGCCTATATATGGTAGAAGTGTATTTCAAGGTTGAAATCTCGATGAGTTGAAGTTGAACTTGTTATCTTTTTGACATGAAGAAAATAACATAGTTTAAGTTTTATACAGCTCAAATTATGGACATTTCAGGAGAAAAAAAACATTCAGACAATTTGTCATCATTCTAATAGCTGTTTTAATGGCTGTTCTAATGTTTGCCTCGTACACCTGTCATTATGAAATATTTTGGTATTCATTTCAATCAGTGCACTTGTAAGTAAGCTTCACTTTCCTGTAAACAACATTGCAGGTCAACGAGCTTTTTTCTTCTCACAAACAACTCCTGCTGGGATTTCAATGTGCAGTTCCCACTTTGGGGAATGCACTGCCGCATATCACTTACCATGCCGTTCTATGTTGAGAGACGCCGATTACACTCTCTTTCACCCAAATTTCATAACAACAATGAATTTCATATCACACATCCCATTCCTAATGATTCCAGATGCATCAATTGTCATCTCGGGGCTTTCGTAGTGATGCGGCTGGCCCGACCAGTTCCAAAATGAACTGCGCTATTGATTTTTGATTCTTCACAAATATGCCTTCTTTTTTCGGTTTTTCCTGCACCAATTTAAAAGCAGCTGCTGAACAAATTGAAAATGTAGGGTTTGAGCATGCCCGGAGTGAGTTCTCATACAAAAGCTAGCACAAAGCTGGAGTTCTATGACTTGATGTTCATGCAAGACATTGGGATTTGGCGGTTAGGAGAGTTGTGAGCTTGACTTGAATGTGTTATTGATGATGGGACATGGTTAGTGACGGACAAAACATGAGATAGTCAGCACTGCTTTGGGGTTTAAGTATAGTCTGTTTTTTGTTACAAATATTTCATGCTGAATGTTGCAAAATACTTTCTCTATGTTATGATAACCTCTCTCTCTCTCTCTTCTTCTTCTTTTTCTTCTTCTTATTCTTCTTCTTCTTTTTTCTCCTTCCAATAACCTACTATGTTCAATGAAAAAAATCATGTTAAAAATCTTTTTTTTCTTCTTAATATTTGACCTGTAATGGATTAGAGAATATATGCATAAAATGGAAACATACTAATTGTATTTCCTGCCAATATAGTTTGAATTTCAAACTTGTACATGGCTAAAGTAAAAAAAACACTATTCTCTCAAATCGTCAATAAATTCAGAATGCTGGTTTTCATAATATACTTAATTATCACACATGCGCCAAAACTTATAACAAATATTTAAGCTAAAACATTTGAAGCATTATGTAATATTCTTTTATTTCATAATGCATGTAATGTGGATGTAATGTGGATCCGATGTTAGCTTTTCAAGAACCTTTTCTATGTCTTTCAAGTTCATTTTGAGTTGAAGGCTGAATGAGATATTGCAAACTTCAATCTCCTCTTCTAGCTGGAAGGGTTAATCATTTTGGATAAAGTCATCCTCCTACATCATTTTGACATGGGCGATGTAATAACGACCTCAACATTTCTTCTACAGCAACAAAAAAATTGTTGAAATGTATTACTTTTATCCCCCCCCCCCCAAAAAAAAGAGACTAAAATGAATATAAGCTCTCATCCCCCTTTCAACTCGATGCTCTGGCTACGTGTCTGGTTGTCATAACAACCGAATCTGGAGAGATGTTTATTTCTAGTGAGGCAGTTGCACAGTTGTGTCATTGGTGCTCTGTGGAGCAGGACGTGCTCTCTCTGTGCTCTGCGTCGTCTGCGTCTCCCACTCTCCATCTCTCTCTCTCTCTCTCCCCACTCCATAACGCTCTCTGAGTGTCCAGGCTCCCTCCGTTCAATCTGCAGTTTGGACTTCACCCTGCACAGATGTAATAAGATCATTGTCGGGAATGCGAGGGAACTCTACACCGGAGGCCGATTTGTGATTATAACTCCGCCGCCGAAGACAACGGATCGTAATCCTCGTGGTACAGCCTACTCGTGCCCTCGGGGCAAGTCTCTTTTATTTGTCTCCTTCTTTTCATATTTTTTTTATTTGGTGAAATTACAGAAGGAGAGGAGTATCAGAAACATTGGAGGTTCATACCCTACATTTCTTCAAACTCCTGCCTGCCAAAGTGGAAGTGTACGTTTTTGACGTCTTCATAGACTGTCTTACCAATTTCGGTGAGTAGAGACTTATTTTTTGTAATCGTTTTGTCTCAGTTTACTCCTTAAGGCCTGTTGTATCAAGCAGTTTTGTTTCAGGATATGTTATATGATGTGTTTATCTGTAAAAAAAAAAACAGTGTATCTTTAATATGTACAGTTTATGAAGACTTTGGCTGAAATTCCTCAGTGGAGAGAGAATTTGGAAATGCAATCCATCCATTTTTCAGCTTGATTTGTTTTCTTTTTGTGCCTTCCTTACGATGCACCTCATTTGCTTTGGAATGTAATAACAAGGAATTGTAGAAGGTTCAATATGAAGATGAGAGTTTATTCAATGTGTGTTTATTTTTTACTCTTGATTAATATTTGGCTTTGCTTATAAGATCATTAGATATTTTGAGATATATGGGCTTCCTTTTTGTGAGTTAGCAAATCAACTATCCTATCAAATCCATATTGGACAAATGAACGGAGAGAATCTGATCTTACCTAAAAGTGAAATATGTTATCAAAGTTTTACATACTATAGAAGTGCAATTTATAATCCAAATGCTGTTACAGTCTGAATATCAGATTTTTAGGGGGGGAAATAACCATATTGATGAAAAAGCTGTTGTTTAGACATGAATAATTCATTAGGTATTTGAATATCAGCTACTAGCTATTCTTTTTTGTATTTTTTTAATTCATTTTTTATTCACATGACATTAAAAAAAAAAAGATTTATAAGCAATTCAATTTATGCATGGATTTTCAGTCTCCTGCATATGCTCTGAATATGTAAGTGAAGCTCCTATGATTGTGAGCTTACAGGGATCGATCAAAACATACTGGTTCATCATTTTATTCAATTTAAGAACTTTTACAATAGCTGCATTTAACAAATATCATCAATTTTTCTCACATTCCGGTATTTTATCGGAAGTTGCATAGCAACAACGGGTAAACATGACCAAGAACCCACCTCTGGAGTGTGGTTTTTTTAAACACCGGCAGAAATTTCACTGATTTTTTGCTCGCTTTCTAAACGTCAGTGAAATATTCCGGTTTTTGGTCACCTGACTCTCCTTACTGCAATGCAATCGCATGCAGAGCAGTGACAGGTCATTCATGTGTACTACTCGACCCCCCAAAAAAACAGAATGAGCAAACACACACCAACGTTTTTTATGGGTTTTTCCAGTAGTGTAAATCAAAGTTGTTTTTTTAAAAAACACCTTTATTTAAAAGAATGGAATTGGGGCTGTGTAAATTATTTTTATCAGGTGATCTACAAGAATGGAGATTATTGTAGTGATAAGGGGATGTTGTGTGGAATTCATCTTTTGATTTTAGACAATTTCTAAAATATTTCCATGTAATTGAAATCTAGTAAGCAGTGATTTGACATGAAATACAGAAGAAAGAAATAGAAAACAGAAACTAATCTTTAAATGACAACCTTTTAATTGCTGAGTACACATTTCAAGAAAAAAAGAATACCCTGCGGCAGTTGAAGTGTCTTGAAGGTTATGTAATAAACATATAGAAATTTGACAGGTGTTTTCTTTATTCCGCACACAGCTGGTCTAACACTCACTTCTCTGACATATATTATGATTTTTCTTTTGTAATTGGTCTTTTATGTACATAATAGGTATTCTAGATATCACTACAAATTTTCAAAATAAAAACTCTGCTTTTGGTCAGTCAAGAACCAAAATCATTTCCAAATATCATAGATTTCACACTTAAAGCATTTTGTGAAATCGGACACTGAAAAAGAATAGATTGTAAGTATGATGAATCAATTTTTTATTTATTTGCCTTAAGTCATGTTTAATGAAAACCCAAGAACGTTTACAGCAGTATAAAAATGATGTAGATTGCCAGCATCGTAATAAAGTCATTGACCAGATCAGTTGGGTATATATGCTGTAGTGGTATCTAAGTTGATTTTGTTAATGTTTTGTATTGTCTCAGTAGAGATGGTTTTGATCACAGTTTGACTGATGATAAGTGATAAAAAACAGAAAAGACATGGGTGATCGGACTGCATCTGGATGGAAACCCCCTAAAGAGTTATGTGCACAAATCCACCCTAGGGCCATTTCACTCTCTTATTGTATTGCCTACAGGAAGTATGTCATAATCTCACATTTTAATAGACGATGCATGAGGCTCTCAAAATTACCCTAGAGTGGATTTCTTGAACGTCTTCGCGATCATATGTCTGTTAAAAGAACAATATATTATATAGATTGTCCTCGAGGCAGTCTCATTTTGAAATAGAAATAATAGTTGAAATATATGAAGCATTATGAGGATACAAGGCCCTGAATGATACAGAAAACTTTCTTCGGTTGGGGATAATCATAAAATGTAGTTTTTAAAGCTTCAACCAGCCTTCAATTTTGTGGGCAAGCTTTCGTCCACTCCTGTGGACTTTCTCAAGCTAATTGATCAGTCACACGTTTTCTGTGCCCTGAATACTATATCTCTGATTAACCTAGCTTAAAATGAACTATCATGATAAGGCGCTCAAATACACACAAAATTTGGTACTACCTGGGTTTTGACTGGCAAATGAAGAATAATGTTTTATAGAAGTACATTCGTGCTGTGGCATTGAATTGAAAAATGTGCCTTGGTGTTATTAGGGGATTTTTTAACTGGAATACAACACCTTTACAATGACCAATCAAATAAGAGACGCTGTGAATTAAAAGTAATTTTTACACATGCTTTTATTCAACAGCAAGCTTTGTGCAATATCTTGGCAAGCGGAAGCCAGACTTGACCTCAGATCACCTTCTTTTGTTATAGACAAGAGACTCCTTAAAGGGAAACTTTAAGAATGTCCACTCTGGTATCAACTTCATTTTAATAACAGCTAGAAAATGAGAGAAACAGATCTCATAAAGAACAAAATAGATATGAACTTGAAGGTGTAATCAATCAAAGGCAGATTAGCAACTCTTTTAATCTCTCTTGTAAGCACTATCCTTTTTTCTTATAGAATTACATCAAATATTACTCTTTATATTTATTGATGGAGGAATTAATTTGTTTCATAGAGGGATATTTAGAAACATGTCCAAGAATAAATCTCTGGCAAAGGTATGATTAAAATGAAAATTGAGAAAAATCGACATTAATGCTTTTTTTATACAAAATAAATGGTGGGCTATTCGCGAGGGAAATCAAAGTGTTCCCAATATGTATTTGATCTATCATCACTTCTAGATTTTAAATGAATTTAATTCAAATGAATACTAAAGTTTTCTTTAGTACCTGAATGACCCACCTAATAGAGAGAATTTTCTGTCCAGAATGATTCAAGTTTCAGGTATTGCACGTGACAGGAAGTTCTCAAGTAAATAGAGCTCCTTACTTGACGGGAAGAAAGGCTATATGTTGGAAGAAGGAAAAACAAAGATTTTCTTTTGGACCCACTCGTGTTACGAGAACACAATCTGATTGGAGGGCAGGTGGACGTGTAGAATAATCCTGGGCCGGTTGACGAGCCTGCTCATCTATCCCGTCCCACGAATGTTCAAGGGCATCGCTCGCTTCATCCAACCCTCGCCAGAAAACAATTGGAGGGGTAGATAGATTAATAAGGATGGCAGCATCGATTCTCTATTCACCTGAGATGGGCTGATCCGTGCTGTCGTATCGATGTGTGAAGAAATGTCACTCCTGGTGAAGAGGGTAGTGGTTTGAATGTACCGTATGCACATTGCACACCTCGGAGGGAACATGAGATATAAAGTATCGGCAGTTGTGACTTTGTACCAGTCAGAATGTTTAGACAGTTTACAGCTTTTGAGCACACAAAAGTAGACATTCAAAATTTTATCTCTTTAATTTACCTTACCTTACCTTACTTTTCCTCTTCCGCCATAATATTAATGTTATAACTTGCCTATTCTTGGGACCATCAACCTGCCAAGCATTAATAGGCTTTTAATGGTAGCCCCTTCTATTTTTTATTTTATATGAATTCATATTATGTACTTTGTATTTTACCTTTACCTTTACTTTGTATTTTGTATTTTGAAATTTGATTGATTTTTAGTTTTTTAATGAAAAATGAGTGAAGACTGAATAATCAATTATTAAGCTGCAGCAATTTTATACAGAGTTTGAAAGCAAACAGTTGTTATTTTGGTATTCATTAATTAGGAAGTATTTTGTTATTGCACTTTTACACATTCATTATGTGATATTATAGAAAAAGTAACCTGTGGCATTGACAAGAAATCCACCTTTAAAAAACTAAGCAGATATCAGAATAACTTCAGATGACCTACCTCAAAATGTATTTGAAACTCTGCCTGTGATACCTTTCTAATAATATAGTAGGACATGGCTTAAAACTTGTTGAATTATATGTTCCTTGTCACTGTTATGTATCCTAGATGTATTGTATTTAAGATGGGGAAACTAGAAGAGGAATTCCAAAATAAACTGTTCCCCCGCAGCTGTTTAAAACTGTCATAACAGATGGGCTTCACTATCAGATAAGGATTGTAATTGCTGTAAGCTACATCTACCTTTTATCAGTGGCGGTTCCAGAATTTCTTTGCGAAGAAAAAGGGGCACAATATTCTGAAATTCTCAAACAAGCAAAGAAAAGGGGTCATCAGATTTTTGTGGATGTCTATTGGACTCCAAATTCTCTAATGACCCCACCCCAAAAAAAAAAAAAAATCAAAAGTGGGGTGTCACTTTGGTTTTAAAAAGGGGGGGGCACAGGTTAGGTGTGCTCCACCCCCCCCCCCCCCCCACCCCCATCCACCTTTACCTCACATGGGATGCCTTCAACATATATTTTATTGAATTTGTTCAGTCAAAAGATCTTTGATTCTAGCCATAACAAAAATATTGTTGATAAAATCTATATGATTGTATATATATTGTCTGTTTGGTGATAGAAGGGCATTAACTCATATACTGTAATACAGAGTTAACATCCTTGTAGCTCCAAGAAGAAGATATGAGCAGTTGAGTCAGGATAGGGGTACCTCCAGGAAATAGTTGATGTGATAATAGATAACCTCTGAATGTAACATGTATGAAGAACAGAGAGAAAGAAATGATGTATTGTTGCCAGTGCTGGCTTCTTGTAAGAAGCAATATCTTTCCATCGCAATGCTTTTCTGAGAATGAGTCAGGCACAAAGTAGCTGGGGAATATACAATAACATTCTGTGTTGACTGTGTTAACTCATATCATTTTACTTATAGTTAAGAACCTTTTGGCTCTTAACAGAGACAGATGATATCAACAGCCAAAAGAGCATTCAGTTTTGTCTATTCAGACAAAGTTAATGCCCTTCTGGCGCTCTGCTGAGAGTCAGAGATATAACTCATGCCATTTAACATGATATTGACTTATATTGATTTACCATAGTTAATACCCTTCTTGCTCTCTGCTGAGAGTTAGAGAGCATTAACTGATGTAGTTTAACACAAAGTTAATGCCCTTCTGGCTCTCAGCAGGCAATAGTTGAAAGCCTTTATGACCAAACACATTTTCTTTCATCTTTCATCCTAGTTCATACCAAGGGCAATAGGGTTTGTGTGCCTTTGAGAATGCAGGCAATATCTCTCTTTGTTACCATGTTTCAATATCGTTTGCAGGTTTTATGGGTGTCCATTCATGCAGGGAAGGGCAGTGGTAGTCTCAATGTTTGTCTAACACGTGAAATGCCAAGTGTGTAAATGTGTGTAGTATGGTCAATGAGAAACTAAACAGGTTACGTCATTTATGGCATTTGAGGGGTTAAAGAAGGGAATAAGAGCAGTGTTGATGTTACACAAAGCTTAATGTGTTTTGATCAGTAAACCCTGCTCAGAAACTAGGTTTGGACTGAAGATCTGAAAAATCAAATATTTTATTTACTTTTTTGACAAAGACTACCCTGTGTTTCTTCGCTCACAGAAACAAGTACAATTCAATGGATTTTAACATTTCTACCCTGGAATATGTTTCAAACCCAATGAAACAACGATTTAAAGATTAAATAAAATGGCTTATTAGAGATCACTCAATAGTGTAAGTCTTTGTGAAATCAAATAAGCATACATTTCAATTTGAAGAAGTGATGTTGCTTCTTTGGGGGAAATGTTTTTAAAAACTAATCGCTTGGAAATGTTTGGGTTAGAACAGTGTGCTGTAATCGAATGCGGGATGGGAAGGACCGTGCTCTTCAGAAGTCTTTGTCTTCCATTTTTTCAACGGGTGGTCTGCTTTAACATAAGAATCTATAGAGATTGTTTCCATGTAAGTCCCGTGCCATATCTCCTACTATTATCTCTGCCTGATATTGGTTCAACCAAACCGTCTCCCGATAAGCATCTCATTGTCAAGGTCATTCAAATTTCCCCCGAGGGAGCCGAAAGAATAATCAATTTTAGGCAGGATAATTGAATTGATCGTTAATAAAGATTAGCGAGGGTGTCAAAGCCGTTCACCCAATCCATGAGTTACATTGATCTTGGTTAGATGTGAAGGTACTATGTAAGACACAGTTTAGGATGTACACTGCCTGTATTTCACAAAAAGAGACAAAATTGCTGTTTTCTACAGTATGTATTAGTATTTCATCGATGCTGCTTTATTAAAAAAAACGATATATCCTTTTGAATTTCAACTTGATTTCAAATGCATTGTTAGATGCATGGGGAATCACTATTTCAGTCAAATTTGTCATTATGGCCACCCAAGGAAACAAAGAAAGTGGCCACTGTAGACAGGTGGTCTTTCTAGAGAGGTTCTACAACACACATTTATTTCTTGAGGGAGATGAAATATGTAGCCACGACATACATGTTGCGTTCATAGAGCAGTGGCTATAACAGTTTGACTGTTCATTACACACACAGTTCAAGGTATGCTAAACTTGTCCTTGCTTTTTTGTATGATGTGTGTGTAGATCGAAATTCCGCTTATGATTTGGCAAATAATATCTTGGGTAAACTTCTCATTAAATCGTCTTTGATTTTGGTACAAAAGGTAAAACTTTTATTTCTGGTAATGGTAGGGAAATGTAATTTTTTTAAAACAGAAAACAAATTACAATAATGTTACAAATTCCCTTACAAATCTTATCAGCCATTGAAATTTGATTCAAAATGTATTATAGCTGAAGAATAGAAAAAGAAATAAGAAGAAATCATAGTTGCTTTGTCAAAACATGTCCTATATGTTTATAACATAATTTGTAGATTAAGTGTGAGCGATTTTTAGCAGTATCTTGTAAATTAGTCATATTTGGGAAGTCCTATTACTCATTTACTGCTTGATAAACAAATAATGATTACTAATCATTTTTCTGTATGTATAACTATACAATATACTAAACACAATATAACCTTTAGAGTATGCCCCCCGGTAAAAAAAAAAAAAAAAAAATATATATATATATATATATATAAAGATAGTAAGGCTGCTTAGTAACAATAATTCCTGCCTACAGCACGTAAAGGATTTATTATTCATAAGAGACTCTAAGTCTCCTAGATACGAGGGAATTCAAAGCTTCGATGATCATAGTCTGAGATCTAGAAGGTATTGTACGTAGGCGCTCTAGCCTTTCAATTTCACAAGACCTCCAAGAGAGATATAGACAAAAGACAATGGTCTTGAATAGAATTGTAATTTGTCAGGGTTTTGATGGCGACTGGTTGTATCAGTTTTGGACATGTCTACACGATAGGTGGAATACATGCATGTATTTACATGCATTTACATGAAAAGTCTATGAAGTGTCATAAAATGAGTCTCATAAACTTTTCTTGATTGCAATTATGTATGAAAGTTCAGGAATGAAACAAATTTACATTCTGTATTTCAATAAGATGCTTTAAATAAATGACTTGCTCAATATCCTGAGTAATACCCAAAATGGTAGATGGAAAAGGATGCATACAGTGAGAAAAGTATTGAGTTGCAGAAAGTGATCTAGCTTAGGAAAGCTCTGAACAACCTTTACAACTAAATGAACAGCAAGTGAATAAGTGGAACAGACTAAAACAGCGAATTTATGTTGTATTGTTGGACTAGGTTAGGGATTAAAGAAAACAGCATCCTTTATTTTTAGATAAGGTGTAGTTTAACTCAAGATTGTTTGAAAGATTCTTGACATCCACTTTTCATGTCATCATTTTACTCATTCATAAGCCAGAGTTATATAATTTCATTTTATGCAATTTTAAAGTGCCTTGTAGAGTTCTGGACCCATTTTTGTTTGAGAAGCAAGCGTTGTTAGTTCACACAATGGACTTACATATTGACTGGTTGCAGAAAGGTCAAACCGACTTTTAATCAAATTATAATCAGGTCACTGGCCACCAAATATAATTTCATACAAAATTCATATTTCTAAGCAGAAAAAAAAGGCGTATTTTTTATGAATTTTGCATGCTTCATTGTGATTGAAAGGTAGTAAAGAAGAAAAAACACCTGCAAGATATTTTTGCGAAAGCCAGGGTCGCAGACATTTTAGCAAGCTGTTGTTTTGGCAATCATTGACAAAAGGTACTTACAATGCATCTCTGCACATTTCCATATGTTACAAGTTCACAAACCTACAACAATTTCATAGAATTTGGAATATCCTCCTGGAAATATAACCACATATATATTCTATATTTCTTATTCTCTAGGATTGTTAAATTCATAAGCATTTCATTCTGTAAGAAGATCCGTCACTTTGAGTGGGAATAATTAAAAGTAAGTCTAAAATACATGTAGATCTTTGTGGTTATCATGTTATGCTTGCTGTATGTTTATGTTTTTTCTTCTTTGTATTGTTTATCTGCTTTAACATCATTGGTTTATCAGCAAATAGAATATCATTCAAGATGAGTAGATGAAAAATATCTTTTTAATGCATCAGGCAAAGTTTTATTGCAAACATATTGAAATGATTAGATTGTCAATTTTTTTAGCAGAAGAATATTAGTACAAGAGAATCTTACGGAGTATCCTTCTTTTATTATCAGTGATGAAAATGTAAAATAGTGCAGAAAATGCACTAAAGATTCGCCCAATTTAATTTGATTTATATATTGAATTGTAATATCACAGTAATATCATGGGTACGATTGTGCGACTGCAAGTTACATTTTATAGTAATTTTCTCTTAAGCGATCATCATTTCACTTCGCTTGGCTTTGTTCAAAATATGTGCTTGGATCAGTGTGTAATAAATTCTCTATTAGATTTGCCTACCATTTCTTTATAGGGGGTAAAGGAATTAATTGACACATACTATTTTGTTCTTCTTTTCACGCTTCGAAAAAGCCTGTTTACCTGGCCGAACATGGGAAGCACTCACTCGTTATTAATTGGATTAGAAATGAATAGTTTTGTGTGGATCGTTGGTGAAGGGGGAAAGGGACGTCTGATTACGACAAGCTGTATATGTGGACTCTCAAGTCGCTTTTTATTGCATGCCAGCAATAAGGCTCTTACAGGCGTGTATTTCTCATGGCAGTAAATTCCTTATAGCGTGCAACAGATGTTATTTGTATGCTGAATGGAGGATAGAGTTTCAGAGGGAATTAAATGCTGCACTATTTCTCTTTCATGTTTTAAGGCATTTCTTCAAATCACTTGCTTCATGAGAGTAATTCAATTAGTACTTTATTTTCCAAGGTGAGCATGGTTATATGGAGAAGTAAATAATTCAGAGAAATCAATTACCGAATGCAGATCTCACATATTTTTAGAAATGTAAACTTGTAGTAGCAAAGTGGGGATTCTTTTTAGGAAATCTATGTACCTATTTACCTCCTTAACTTGAGATGAAAGTACATGTAATAGGAAACTGGAAATCTGTTTAATCTGAATTTTTGGATTTAATTACATCATTTTACATCAAATTCAATAATGTACTTCAGTTATCTTGTGGCATGAAACTATTGTGAATCTGGATCCCTTAACAAATCTTGTCAAAGAGTCGTATCTTTCAATGCATTAGAAGTACTACAGCCTTTATAAAGGATGAAAACTGCATGCACCTCCAAAGTACATTGATAATATCTACCAGTGGTGGCCAGAACTGAAAACTAAAGAAAAGGAAAAAGTAGCAAGCTTCAACAAAAAATTGGAAAGAAACAAAATGTGGGTGAAGTTTATATCACATATTACATATTACTCAACAGTACAATTAACCCCACTTTCCTGAAGAGAGAAAAGGGATCCAGCACTGATGCCCTCTTTTTTAAATTGAAATATGGTTCGTTGACCCTAAATTTCCTATTCCAACCCAATAATAAAATTCTCATGATTCAACTGATTGTGTTTTTGTTTCCCAAATTCTAGCCGCCATATTTTCCTTTTCAATAAATGCCTTTGAAAGTGGTTATTGCTTTTCTAACTCATCCAAATTTATGAGTTATATATTTCTATCCGTTTGCAACTCATGAATTTGCAGTATTTGTCCACCCAGGGGTAAAGGCCTTTGGCAGTGCAATGTTAATTTGAAAGATGTGAGAAGTGAGACCTTTGTATCGTTATTTAGTCGTCTGAGAGGTAGGGTTGATAATAAGTTTTTTTTCTTCTCTTCCAACCCTTTCCATGATTTTGAGATTTTGAACTAATATTTAAAAAAAGCTTGTTCGTCTTTTCAGATTTATCAATCAAATAAATTTGTTAAGTCACATATTGTGAAAGATTATTTGTATTAGAATAACAGGGGGAAAAGCAATGTCAATGAAAATTTCCATCATAAAATTTGATTTGTCATTTAGATGTCTGCAAATCTGATAGCACCTTAAGGATAAACAAATCATAAAAATAATATTTTTCCTATCTAAACAATTGTAGTTTGTAGATTTCATGATTGATTTTGTTTGTTTTGTTTTGTTTTTGTTTCATGAAAGCTCCTTGGCCAATTTTGCATTATTAATTACATCACATGCTATAGAGCTCTAGTCTGCTTCCAGATTGAGTGAATCTCAAAATTTTGTTCCAGTATTATGACTTGTACTCAGCTATAAGGTAACATGCCAGACTGTAGCACCATTCTCAATGTGGTATTGTATCTGTGGCAAGAGCATATAGTAAATTGCACAACAGATCAGAAAAAATTAAGACATGTCAAATGTGATATTTCATCTGTATTGACAAGGGTGCGAATTTCACAGCAGACTTTAAAATGTTGATATTCTCATCTGTGGCAACAAGAAGTACCAATGTCTGTGTTTATACAACGCCTACTAAGATTCTTGCAACGTCATTGGTCAATTCTTGATCACATGACATGCGCTTAAAGTACCATTGAATGGCATCATTCTCCAGCCGTGCAATTCCGTTTGATCCTTTCGCACCATTGCACTCTGACGTCACTAACGATGTACAAAGTATATTGTGAGCTAAGTGAGGTCAGAGTGCAATGGTGCGAAAGGATCAAACGAAATTGCACTCCGCGTCAAAATAAACATAAATCTTTGTACGCGCGGCGCATGGTATGCGCATGGTTTGCTGCCTGCTTAATAGTGCACGCTCACTATCGGCAATTTCATGAATTAAAAAACAAACAAAAAATCGCTGAGATTTAAGCCCAGAAAAACTGTTTTAAGCCCATTAACGTCCGAGGTGTTGTATAAAACAAATAGTGAATGGCCTTTATTTGTGCAATGGAACAAGATTTCGCATTCGGTGAAAGATGAGACGCTCTATTCAACTCGGCTGCGCCTTGTTGAATATAGCGTCTCTTATCTTTCACCTCGTGCAAAATCTTGTACCATTGCACTCATGGCCATTCACTATTTGTATAACATGTATGTTTGGAGCCAGAAGGGCATTAACTCACATAATTTACCACAAGGTTAACGCCCTTCTGGCTCTTAACAGAACATATAAGAAGAGTCCTGTATGTATTACTTACCTCTTTGCACAGTGAAGCTACCTATTGCATTGATGCAGAGGAGATAGATATGAAACTGATAATTATGTTATTTCAACAGATCTCACAGGCTATTTTTTTTCCTTTGTATGTTATTTTTTAAATATACTTCAAGAGAAATCCCATATCCATCAACTGAAGTAATCTTTGAATTGAAATTTGCAAGTGGCATTTCAATTTCCTATTAATGCATTTTTTTTTCCTGTTCAACATATGCACCAAACCTGTATTTTGATTGTGGAAAGATTTATTTTGCCATTTCAGGGAGGATTATGGTAAAAAATGATGACAAGTTGATATTGGTCTGTACTTTACCTACAAATCAGTATTATCAGAAAAGGATAGCTCTTTTCACATGATGTAGGATGAAAAGATTTTGTGTGGTTTTGAAATGAGTCACATTTCCATAAACATTTTATTTTCATAACATTCTTCTTTTCCCCCACAATACCCCCTTTCTGCTTATACATTCATAAAGTATACACATTTTATGGAAATTAATGCAATCTATCTTCTGCTTTGGAAATGTTGCCTAATTGTTATTTTTCATCATTTCGTAAGTACAGTGGGGTACTTTGTTCTCTTAAAATATTATTGTGGTCAATATAGTAGTAAACAAATATAATAAATTTAATTCCTTGTGATTTGGAGCCGGGCAGATGACTTTCTACATTTTTAGAGGACCAAACATTTTAGTAATTGTACTATTACGAGATATGGCAGACGCCCTAATGATGGGTATTATTCTTCAGCCCCCCTTATTCTCTCCTTAGAAGTCAAAGTAGAGCCATTCACATCGGTCTGATAAACCTGAAGGAACCATTTATATTGGAAATCATACACTATGATGGGATTGAAGTATAAAGCCTATAGAGTAACATATATTATTTTTAAATCATTTTTTATGACATTGCACTATTTATGACCCCCAAATTGTGAAGATTGATACTTTGAGGAATTGAAAAGAAAATGAGCCTTCATCGCTTCATGCTTCATGTCGCAATTACAGCGAAGTACTTCCAACTGTTTATCTCAAATTTTTAAGGGTTCATTTGGTCATGAAATGCAGATTTGTTTGTTACTAAAACGCAAGAATGCTGCCCAATAATGACAAAGAGCATTAAACCATCAAATTCAGAAACACTAATGTAGCATGAAGAAAAAAAATGGATTCGGCCGGTGAACTTTGATATTCTTGTATATGGCTAGTCAGGTTTGTGTAGAGCTTCAAACATGGAAGCCGCTGTAATAGGAAGCTTGTATTAGCGAGAAAGATGCACGGAGGAAAATCCATTTTGTTTGAAATTCAAATCCTGTTAAAGGCCACACTATTTGTCATCACATCAATTTATGCATTTCTGTCCTAGACTTTGTTTGACTCAATCCATGCGATTTATTCTATTTTCATCCACTCATCTACAATGTTCAAATCTTGTTGGCTGTCCCAACGCAAAAGGCTGTAAATGCAGTGTTTTGTAAGTGGCAGCAACAGCCTTTTGGCAGGCAGGAAAAACTCTATGGTTTCATGAAAGCAGCTTCTCACAAGATGACTTCGTCAATATTTTCCAGTTTTCCGGTATCTTGCGTTTTTATTTCCCACCTCCTCCCCCTTGTCCGTTTTGTCAAAATATGACTTTCTTAAAAAATTGTATTGTTTCAGATTCTCTCATTTTTCTCTGTCGCTCATATGTCTTTGCTCATGTTTCTCTTCTCTTCTTTCTCTTCTCTTCTTTCTCTTCTCTCTTTTCCTTCTTCTTTCAATTATTCCTCCCTGCATCTGATACACGGATATTCTTTTACCGTTGATTTTCACCTATTTCTCTTTCTCTCTTTTGCTATGTCTCAAAGCTTTCTCTTTTGCTCGCACGCTCTCTCTTTCTCTCTCTCTCTCTCTCTCTCTCTCTTTCTATCTATCTATCTCTCTCTCTTTCCCTCTCTCTTTCTCTCTGCTTCTATCCTTCTCCTTATTTCTGTCATTCTCCATCTTCTTTTCTCTCTTTTTCCTGTACCCATCTCCTGCAGATTATGATGTTGATCCATAAAAAGCTTTGAGTAATCCCCATAAAGGATACAGTATAATATTTTCCATTAATATAATTAATATTGCTTACTGATGGAGGTTGCCATATCCTCAGATTTAGAAGCAATCCATGAAAGTAAAATTTAAATCAGAACAAATTTTATTACAAGTTACTCAGAAAAGGGAGGTTCGAGACTCAAGAATATTGATATTGATATTGATAAAAGATACTAGTAAAAATACTGGGGGGATCGCAGGACAGTCCTGATTTTAAGCCAGAAAATCTGACATCACAGACCGCAAAACCCTTGCATAGAAGACCTCTTGAGCAATTTATCAGAAAAGAATTCAATTTGAGGGAAATGGGATCGTGTCATGTATGCAGTCATGAGGCTAGACCATGTTCTAGTTGTGTGTTAATGAATATTGATGATGGCTCGGTCAGTACAGAGCGGGTCAGGGATGATCTTTTGTACTTTCAGGAGAAAGACACAGAGCCTAAGAGGAGGTTCAGGTGATTGCAATGTGAGCCCCAATCTGGCAAAGAATGACAGAAATGTATTTAACATGAAAAATGATAACAATTGCAGGGATGGTGATTTTTCTCCAAAGCTCTGTCAAAACTCCAAATAAACCCGACTTCCAATATCATAGGTTTAGACATTCATATTTGTATGAAAAGATATACAACTTATAATCGAGTACCTTTTTAATTTTCACTTATTCATTGTTATCATTATATAATTTACAGAGAGCCGTAGGAGCAGTAAACGGTGTTAAAGGATTTACCTTCATGCCCTTCTGTCTCTAGAAGCAGACAGTGTCATCTGATCTTTTGTATATATTTTACAGGAGTCATTTTATTACCAAATTCATAGAAAGTTTAAATTTCTCTGAATAATATGATTAGATATAATGGATATTCATAAATAGTTCAACTTTCACACAAATTGTGATTCAATCACAACATGTGTGACGTTCAGAAACATATATCCCCAATCCTCTTAAAGCAGAGATGCCATTTTTCTGATTTTTCTGGGATTATCTTCATAATCTTCTAAATAAAAATGGTTCCAAAAAAACAGAGAAAACTCACAGTCTCTCTATCTCTCTCTCTCTCTCTCTCTCTCTCTCTCTCTCTCTCTCTCTCTCTCCCTCCCTCTCTCCCTCCCTCTCTCTCCCTCCCTCTCTCCCTCCCTCTCTCCCTCCCTCCCTCTCTCTCTCTTTCTCTCACTTTCTCTGCGTGTTTGGAAGGGTATGTGAAGGAGATTGAGGAGGAAATCAAAACCGAGAGGAAGATGTTGATGGCTTGAGGTGAAAGTCATGGACACATACATACTCTCAGGAAGTGATCAGGATAAACAACGATCCCATATCCTTGTATGTTGATCAGAAAGCAGTTCATGCAGAACATTGGTGGGCTCTTGTGCTTACAGCATGTGTAAGGCATGTATCTGCACATGTATCCATGTGTAAATATATGAATTGATAGTTCTGAAAAAGCATATTTACATGCATTGAAACTGTTGTTTTTTGTGTAATCTGGAAACACAAAACCCTTGTGGCTTCATGGGGCTTTACCCCTGGACCCCACCATGGGCCCTATGGCAGGCTTCATGACCTCCGGCTGCTGTAGGCTACACTCGCACCGCTTTAAAGTTCAGGAAATTTGTATCATTCTCAGTAGCATCTCTGTATAAGGTAATTCAATAATATATTGTAGTGCCAACGGCTATGAGAGGTAACCATATCTCTCATCAATATGACATTGACATTTATTATCATATATCATTTTCACCAAGTTTTGGATTTGATTAAGATATATATATATATATATATCCTCATGAAATTGGAGTGTGCTATTGAGGTAATAGAACTATTTTTCATAGGCTTGTGTTTGGTCGTAAGCATCATACCAAATTGTTTGTCAAACTATTGATGTTTTGTAGAATTTACTTTTTCGTCACACCGCTACATCCCTGGGCCTCATTAAAAATGCAGAATCCAATTTAATTACCTACAAGGATATATATATATAGGGCTCTTTCTTCGATGAGATGGTGATGTTGCCATTAGAATCCCCTCAGGGAGGGGGGGGGGGTGAGTTTGAAGCAGAGACTAGGAACGTAAGTAGCAAAAGTGCAGACAGAGAGTACAAATACCTTGGACCCATTTGTAATGTATCATTGGCTACCTTAATGATACTTGGTAATGGGCCAATTGATTACTGAATAAAGCGCACGCAGCACCAGCACCATTTGAATGCATGTGAGACTGTAGGGTGACAAGCCATGACGTCGAGGCTTTAGTCGAGACATCACGCCAGAACTTTGCTTGATTGAAATTGGTCGGGAGACGTGACTCCGGCATACCTTTTGCTTGCTGTTTTTTAATTGAGAGGAGGGGGTGATAGAGAGAGAGACCCCTCTTTCCATACCAAATAAGGGCTGTGATGTAACCATGATGTAACAAAGGGAAGGTAGGATTGAAGGATTAAGTGAGGGGTTCTTATGCACATACACAATCATTACAATGAGTTGACATTTGACGTACATCTCAAATCTTCCGACTCTTGCTTTTAGGGTATGAAGGAAGTTGTGATAACTGCATCATACGTTCCACTCTTTGAGCTGTATACCTGAAGATTTATTTTGCCATATGATATATTGGTACGCATCGTCAGTGCTTTAAGGAGATGTATCTGTCAAATTACTTAGGGACTGATATTTATGGTACAAATTAAATTAGTGGCCAAAGATCAAGAAAACACGCGGACAGGTATAAGATTAATAGTGATTCATTTTTATATCCGGCTGTGTCTGGCTGTGTCCTTTTTCTCATTGTATCTCTGTTTTATCTTTATCTTCTGTTTACTCCTCTTTCTCTCATTCCCTCTCTCTTTCTCTCTTCTCTCTCTCTCTCTCTCACACACACTCTCTCTCTCTCTCTCACTCTCTGCTTCTCATTTTTTCCCTCCCTTTCTCTTCTACTGTTTATGTACCTCTCTGTCTGTCTCTGTCTATATCTCTCTCTGTCTCTGTCTCTCTCTCTCTCTCTCTCCCTCTCCCTCTCTATTTCTTTTTCTTTTTCTTTCTATTCCTTCCTCCCTCCCTTCTTTCCCTCCATTATTTATGTTGTCTCTCCTTGTCAGTCTTCTCTTCCCTTTAGCTAATAGTTAAAGAGTAACACATTGAAAGCACAAGTTTTTGTATGCCAATGTATAAAATATTACCTGTTTTAAAAGTCACCCCTGCAGTTGTCAGTTTGGGTATCGTTTCACCGTTAACGACGTAGACGAAATGAGCTGTCAGTAGCAAATGTGATTTAAGGTAGCAAATTTCAAAATTTATCGTAATAAATATTTGTAATTATCTTGCTTTGGATCCGGGACCTTCTGTTTCTCACTGACTTATTTCAATTCCAAATCAATGCAGCAATTATCAACGCCTTATCTTTCCCTACTCCTCCTTTTCATCTTTCTTTTTCTCTTCTTCTTCATCCTCCTCCCCTTTCTCAGTCTAAGTCTCTTTGTGTGTGTGTTTTTTTGGGGGAGGGGGTCTCTATCAACTTTTCTTGGATATTATTTTCATTTACCAAGCGGTATAATCAGGGTTTTTTGTTGTTGTTGCATATTTGAGGAATGTTTTCACTAAACACTTGATTCTAAAAGTTTAAACCAAATTAATGAAAAAGAAATTCAACCACTCATCATACCAGCACATCACAATGTGACTTAACCCCCTCAAGAACTATGGTATTGTAGCCCTGACGACACCGTGGATACAACATTCTTTTTCTTGACCTGTAGCCAGAACCAAGTGACATTAATGGATCAAGAAGAAGATAATTCTGACGGAACTGCAATAAATATTTATCAGGGTATAAGTCCGCGGAGAGCAAACTGTCAAGCCGTGTAGCAATTAGGCCTTCCCTCATGCAGGACCAGAATGCTAATGAGAAGAAATTCTGCATTTTAATGAATATGTGTAGTACAGCCTTAACCTAAGTGCTTCTGATAGATTTTAATATATTATAAATTGTAATAAGGAATAATTATTTTTCTACTGAAATTGCACATCCATCTATTTAGAGTACTAGATAAGAAGTTCATATTGATATAATCAATAATTTTAAAAAATAGTGATGGTAGATTAGAGCAAAGTCTTTTCCTTTATATCTGGGGATCGTACAACCGTCACTACAGGGTTGTTAGCAGTGATTGTTACACGGTTGATAATAGATTGATAAATAGTGTTCATCTGAAAATCGTTAATATTATCAGAATTCATAAATTTGAACTAATACAGACACATTTTTATTCCAACTTTCTTTTATATAAAGTTTTTATGACTTTACTTGCTTTTCATTATATGAAGATAAAACTTGTTTTTTGCATTAAGTAGTTCAAATCACTCTTGCCTTTTATTTGGTATACTGTTAGAAACAGAGTACTGTATGTTCCAAATTAAAGTACACACGTACATGAAGATAATGGGGTCTGATGTGGAAGCGAAACTTTTGCCTTCTAGTTACAATGACTGAGCTCCGTAAAAGGTTAAATTCTTAGATTTCTTTGTCAAAGCGACCCCGCGAAGACCCTTGCAGAGTATGAACATTCCCTTGGGTGAATTACGTAAGTAAGGCCGAAGAGTTACGAGAAAATTATGAATCCCAGCGTTGCTTTTTCAGGGATGGCGCACCATGGAGGCTAATTACAGGTATGTTACTGTTAGCAGCAGCCCAGCCCCATAGGGAAATCGGTCCAATGTTTTATTGAGTTTTCTGCCTCACCGATAAACTTATTAGTGAAGAGAGTTAATCACATAGGTTAAATATTAACAGTTAGATAAAAATGGACTGCTTTATGTAACAAATTTAGTTAATGGATTACTTTAATCTCATCAGTGTCCTTTTATCTGTTACTAGCGATGTACCCAAAACAGTGCAATTCCAGGGCTGTTTAGACATTAAAGGGCCAAATTCAATGAAATGGGGGGGGGGGGGGGAGGGGAGGAGAATGAATCGCTATGAATTTGCCCTTGTGCATTCAAGTCTTGTTCATGCATAAAAACATACAGTATACATCAGTTTTAGCAGTTGATTCTTTCTTTTTTCAAATTAAAAAAAAGTTGATTTCTGTGCCATCCACAAGCAGGTGAATTTCATAAGGCATCATTTTTATTACATGACTACTATTACAAAAACAACAAAAATTGTGGCAGTTCGCCATGTCCTATAGGAATAAACCTGAATTTGGACGAATTTTTTAAATATTTGTGTACCAAATGTAAAAACATGACATGATCTGTTGTGTGGATTTGGATAATATAAAAGATGGTGAAAAGATTTTTAATCTCACAAAACACTTTATATCAGTTTTCACTATTTCTATGTATTGAAAGAGTATTCACGAAGCAACACATTTTGGAAGAAAGTAAGTTTACGAAGAAAAAATGAATCATATATGCGTGACTGCTGGCAAGAAAGCAGTATGTACGTTGTATCGTCACATATTAATTATGTAAACATGCCTAGGGTTAAGTACTTAATTAGAATGCTGCTCTGTATGCTGCCAGAACACACAGGGCGCTAATTGGACCTGGTATGTTGGGGCAAATGTGATTCCAAAAACATGGGGTATTTTTCTTGCCCTTGTTTAATAAGTGCTTCGCCTGGAAGGGGTGTGGAGTAGGGAGCAGTAGGGGGGAGAAGAAAAGGAGGGGTAGGGAAAGGAAGAGAGAGGGGGAAGGAGGGACGGAGTGAGGGAAAACATGAAACACTCATATGTTACTTTTTGCGAGTGAATATGAGAACAGTATCGTTTGTGTTACCAGTAAATACATTTAGTATAATGCATCCGATGAGAGCAAAAGAGTGTGATATATATTTGAACTCCTATCCCACATGTTACAGTATATACAGTTGATGGATATTATTTTCCAATCCTTTACAAGAAAAGCAGTGTAAACAAACAGGCAGCATAATTCATGTGCACTTCAATAAATATGAAATAGTAAACAATTTCTGAAATATTTCTGGATGAGTTTGGCCTTCTGACCTTAAACCCCCAAAAGCCTCTATTTTGCATTCTGTGTAAAGTCATTAATGAAACTGTACACATATCGCTGGCGGTGGAGAGTAGAGTCATAAGCCTGAAATGTGACAAATTGCACTTCGAGAATTCCAGCGACTCTGGGTCAATCTGACCACACCGTGTTAGAGTGTGAAATTGTATTAATGCGGCCCAGGAGTCTTTTTATACTGTTTAATGGCTAGCAGCGATTGATAATGAGGTCGATAGCAACGTTGTATGACCCACCTGTCATGCTTTCATTCTGTTTCTCTTAACTATTTTTTGTTTTGGGGGGGGGGGGTGGGGTGTTAGGAGTAAAATGATCAGATATCTGATTAAAATCATGATTATATTTCCTCATATTATTTTCCTTGTATATTTTTAGTCTTTTGATTGTTTTTTCTAGCTGTTTATCTCTATATCTTTCCCACGCTTTCTATTTCTTTCAATTTGTCCTCTCGCACTTTATCTCTTAGAATTAGTCCTTTCCTTCCTCTCATCTCTCTCTCTCTCCTCTTTTTCTCCTCTTCTCTCTCTCTCGCTCTCTCTCTCTCTGTCTCTCTATCTCTCTCTTTCTATCTCCTCTATCTCCTCTCTCTCCTCCTCCTCCTTTTCCTTCTCTCTC